TGGATGCTCTGCACCCTGGGACTGGTTTTGGGACTGTTGGGGAAGTGGACTTATGGTAACACTGTGACTTAGGGCTTGTTGCTCCTCCTAACAAGTCAAGGTCTGTAGCTGGTTTCCAAATCCAGGCTTCTTAGAAGAACCACACATCTGGCACATGTTCATATGTAACCCTAAGCTTTCCCACTGTGGAAACTGGAAGCAGGGGTGCAGCAATAAACCAGGATTTGGAAGAACTGTGGTTTAGCATTTTGTGCAAACATGGTCAGCAGCACATAACCTGTTGACAGTACAACATAGAGTACTTGCTCGCCCTTCACTCCATTGTGATGGTCCATTGATCTTTGCCACAAAAGTGAGGGGAGGGTCTACCTGGAACCCCAGGCAGTGGCTGGAAGAGCAGCTCCTGCGAGCCGATAGCGCTCGTCTCTTTCCAGCTAAAGCTGCCTCGCCCCTGCAGCTGTTGTGTGAGGGCACTGCTTGTGTTGGTGCTGCTCATGGAAAGTTTAGGCAAAGGGTGATTTCATCACTGGTTGCTCTTGCCCCTCTTAATGGTGCCATTCTTAAGTAAACAACTCAGAGCTTTTGAGCTAGAGAGGAATGTAAATCCTGAATAAGCATGAGTCACGTTCCAGGCCAAATGTGTGAACTCGAGGCTGCATGTTGGTCATGACTCATGTACTCCACAGTATATTAAACCAGGAGCAAAAAAAAGGTGCACTTCAAACCGCTTCAGGGACTTAATATCATCACTCCACAGTGGTTTCTTTCTGTAGGTTCTCCACAATGGCAAAAAGTGCCTTTCTTGCATGCCAGTTTGTGGTTTGTGTGCCAAAGGATTGGTGAGCCCAGTTCCGGGTCATAAGCCGAACTCTGAAGATGCCGTCTCAAATGTATGCTCGGATGGAAAAAGTCTGCTGCAAGAAAAGGGGAAAACCTGGCTGCTTTCATTTTGACTAATGGCAGGTTTCATTTTAGCTGTCTGTGGCTAGGTGAAGTGCGGCCCCTGCCCCATCGGTACCAGGGCATCCCTGTGTTTGTTTGTTGCCATGGCAATTTAACTGCAGGGAGTCAGCTGAGGAGCCAGGTACAGCACAGGAATGCAAATGCTTCACTGCGTGGGAGTAGGTTTTCCTCGCCAGTGCCACCTTCCTGCACCCAAGATTGCTCCTCCATTCCTGGCGGCATCCCATTTTTCTCCTCTCTCCCTGAAGCAGCTTTAATTTAACTTGTTTTAAAAAAATCTGTTTTCCCCAGTATCGCATAAATTAGTGCCCTATTTTCACTCAGAGCCCTAATATTTTTACAATTGTGGCATGTTGAATTCAATCTTAGAACGTACAGACTTGTATATCCTTGTTCTTTGTTAGCCATGGGCAAGAAAACTCCCATTTTGCATAATATCTTTTGATGTGTGTGGAATTCAGGGGGGTGGAGATGAACATCTGCTTGTTTAATCTTTTCCAAACACTACACATTTTACTTGAGCAGCAAGACAGACCCTTCTGCTTCTGGAGCGGTCTCACCTCAGTTTCTGCAACAGGGTAACCCACAGTTTGTGTCAAAGAATCTACTCTGCTGCCAAGATTTAGCTTTTTAAAACTGAGCTTTTAAAAATGGAAACGTCTGAGGAAAATGAAAGCAAAGAAGGAGCGAAGGTGAAACTTTCAAGGTCAGGCAGCATAAAACAGCACTAAAATAGGGGAAACACATGGTCTTATGCAAACCGTCTCCATGCAGCACATAATTCAACTGTGAAATTCACTACCACAAGATGTAGGGTTGATTGCCAACTTGGATGGGATTAGAAGGGGAGTAGTCAAATTCATGGGGGAGAAGGCTGTCAGTGGCTGCTAGTCTTGATGGCTATAGATCACCTTCAGTAGTCAGTACTAGTTGCTGGGGAACATGAGCATTATGAGTATCGTGCTCCTGTCTCCTTTGGGGCTTCCCCTTGGAGCATCTGGTTGGCCTGTGAGGAACCAAATCCTGGGCCAGATCAGTCTTTGGGCTAATCCAGCATGGCCCTTCCTGTGTTCTTAAGATGGATGAGCTACATTCTCTCCCATGCACCTCCCACAACTCTGGGATTCCCATTTATCTTCTCTGGTATCTTGAGATTTTTACCAGCTAGAATATTATTCAGGTACATTTTAACTTAACATTCTGAGAAAATGGGAGAGACAGGAAAATGGTGTTTTTGTGTGTGGGCTGTTTACAAAATGCTGGACTGAGCTGTCAATGCCAGGCCTCACGCTTGTGTGGAGATCACACAGAGGCACGAAATACACGCAGCTCTAGTTTGGAAGTACGGGTATCCCTGACGAAGTTTCCCCATTGACAACGTAAAATATATGGCAAACCATTTTGTGTGTTTTTGTGCATGTTCAAAAACAAATCCTTCCAATGCCGATTCAGAATCAAACCTGGTATTTTCATCATTCGCCTGTTAGACACTTTCACATGTATATCTGTGTCTTTTCTCAGAATCAGGCCTGCATTCACAATGTTTTGTGAAATTGGGACATTTTCATCACAGGATTCCAAAACATCATCTACTCCTACAAATGCCAGATTGTTAGACTGAGGACAAACAACTGTAAATTAGGAATTGTCATCTCTCTAAGTTTCATGTTTTCCAAATGAAACCGGAAAATGAAAAGCAGTTTGGATTAATAACGGTGCAATCCTGTGCATGTCCACTTGGAAGGAAGTCCCACTGAGTACAATGGGACTTTCTTCCAGGTAAGTGTGAATAGGATTGCTCTGCAGCTGAAATGGATTCTCGGTTTGTTATCTCTTACATGGGTATGTGCACTCTCCCACACACAGACATGTGCTTGGATTATTTATGTTACCTCTTCCATTGCTGGGTGGGACATTCTGGAGTCGTAGGCCTTTTATCTGTCACAGGTCTGTGCCTTAAATATACCTGCTTTCCCTATCCTACCATGCTGGCTGGGCATTGTGGCAGCTGTGGGGACCTGGCTGCGAAAAGCAGGCATTGACACTCATTAGGAGAAGAGAGAGCAGGAGCAGGAAGGTGGAATCCAAGGCAGCTCATTTTGGATAATAACGTTCGCATCGTTTTCTCATCTGCTTCGTTTGTGTGGCTTCGTGGTTCCTTGCTTCTGAACATCAGTGTGGCTTAGCAAGCCAAAGGTGATAATACTGCAGATAAAAATAACATTTAAACAAGCAAGCACAACCTATGAATAAGATGCCAGTCGTAATAGCAGGAGCAATGTAAAAGCAGGTGCCATGTAAAACACTGAAAGTGCTAACAGATGTGATCAATAAAAAGAGCAGCGGGATGACATCAGCAGTATCACGTTTCAGTATAGGCAGAAAATATTAAAATAGGCCTTGCAGATACCATCCTCCAAAGGATTCTCTTCTCTCTTTAAGTGCTTTGCCATGAAGGGAACAAAGTGAGCTTCCTTCAAGTAGGAGTTTCAAATCCTGTAGATATATAGAGGACCCATAGGAGGCCTTCCAGAATCTAGTCACTGGATTCTCAGCTTTTCCCTGAAAACAATGTATACCTATAGACTCTTGGCTAGTCCCAGGGAAATAATGGCGTTCTATGCAAAACTGAAAAAGATGCTCAGCCTGCCAGTAGCTTGGTAATCGTGAGATATGAAGTATGTGAGAGAGGAGAACAAATGAACCATGGCCTAGAATATTGAAACAGATCAGCTGCTTTCCTCATGCCAGCAGTCATCCCCCAGTTACAAAATAACTTTTGCAGCCCCTCCTCTTCCCCCTGGCCCCTCCTCAGAAAGCAGTAAGAAAGCACAAGGCAAAAAGAAATTTTGCTCCACCAAACAGCTGACCTAGTGATACTTAATGACTAAGCAGCACTTGACTCTATGTTCCAAGAATCTGAGGGCCAGAACCATGGTCCTTGCGAAGTTTAGCCTCCAATCTGCAGCCTGTAGCCACAGTGTTATCTTTCCTTGATAACCTTGCTGTTTGTTTGCGGGTTCTGAGGTCCCAGGTGTTTGGAGACAGGTTACTAGAATGCACATGATGCCGGCTCTTTGCACCTCATCAGGTTTTGGTTGTGTATACTATGGAGACCCAGTGTGATGGAGGGTCCAAAGTCACAAACAACGCAAACATGTGTCTGTCAACTCAGACTTGCAGTGTTGGCAATTGCCTTAAACGTTTTATGTTGGAATTATAAGCCAGTGTTGGTCAATTTGTTGAAGTCTCTCTAACACTGACAAGCACAAGCTTAAAAACCGTGTAACTAGCATGTGGTTTGTCATGCCACATCCAGCTCTAATTCTGCCACTCTTTTTAAAAAGTAGAGAGACCATTGCTTGGAATTTTAGGATGCTTCATCCTGCACCAGATACCAAATTCTCCTCCTTCATTGATCAAGTCTGTAATTTACCCTTCCTTGGAGGTACTCAGAACCGTGTAAATGATACCTCATTCTATTTTCACTGTAATCCTGTGTTATAGACCACACAGAGGGATGGTGTTAAACAGAGATACAAATACCCATCTTCCCATGTTCCGTATGGCACCCTATTCCCCCCCTTTCTCTGAGCCATACGCTCCAGTTTGGGAAAGCCTGCATTGTCCTCTTTAACCATGCAGCAGGGCTGACCAACTTGTGACTCTCTGGATGTTTTGACCTACAACTCCCATCATCCCTCATGTCTGGGTCTGGTGGGAATTGTAGGCTGTCAGTTGCCCAGTTCTGCCATACAAACTCTCATATACAGTAACATTAAAGATATGCGGAGTACACCAGCTCCTTTTGCTGAGAGAAGGCAGTCCTCACCAGCATGGTCAGTGTTCAGAAATGATGGGAGTTGTAGTTTGACAACATCTGGAGGTCCACTGGTTCTTCATGCCAGTTTACAGAACTGGTAAAGGATCCTCTGTGTGTGTGTGTATTGTGGAGAGCATTTCCAGTGTCTCCAGGAGCCCACTGCCATTGGGACCCTGACTGAGGATGCTAATCTATATTTTGTTTTTCTTTCTAGGTTAGTTTCCCAGATGTTGAGAAAGCTGAATGGCTGAATAAGGTGAGATGCAGCAGACTCGGTTCTTCTTCCCAGCTGTGGTCAGTCATATGGAAGTACTAACATGGCTTTCTCGCTCCATGGTAGATCCTGGCCCAGGCTTGGCCTTTCTTTGGCCAGTACATGGAGAAGCTGCTGGTGGAGAATATTTCTCCAAGCATCCGTGCCTCCAACACCCATCTGCAGACCTTCACTTTCACCAAGATTGACATGGGAGAGAAGGTAATGATCAGCAGAAGACTATTCAGACAGAGTATGAGAGGGCAGCCCAGTGCAGCCACACAACGAACAATCTCACACTTGTCCCTTTCAGACTAACCACTGTTATGTATTCCCCCACCAACTGTCATCAGCCTCTCTCAAGATTTTGGGGCCTTTTCTAAACTCTGTTCAGAAGTAAAAATAATCGTATTCGTTTTAATAACTTCTACCTAACCTTTCTTCACCAAAGTGTGTTCTCAAGGCAAGTCACAATAAAAGTGACAATTCGTAATATACAAACCCATAAATATGAGCCAGTAATAAAGCAACAAAAACATCAATTAGGACTGTAGTTCTGTACACAGTTACATTTTTATTATTTAATTCATTGCTTAACTGTGATTTAAGAACATCATCTTCCCAAAGCAACTTACAGCATAGGATCAAAGCAAACATTTTAATCAAATCAAATTGAATATTTTATTATTTATTTATTTAAAACTTTTATATTCCATCACCACATGCCTCGGCATCTCAGGACGGCTTACAAACATATTTAAATATATAACAACATATTTAAATATTACAACATAGTTTCAGTAAAATACAATGTCAGTATTCCTAGCACATAAAAGAAGAGATGTGTTCTTGAAAACTCTCTCAAGAGCAGCCATAGAAGGAGCCAAACGTATCTTAGGAAGGAAGCTGATCAATGGGAAGGTCCACCACATTTACTGATTTTGGTAGGTTATCTTAAAGTATGGATGCACAGTGAGAATAAGTTCCACTGGGACCTGCTTCTGAGCAGATGTTCATAGGATTGTGCTATGAAACATTGTCTCCAGTAACTAAGCCTTAGGAGAGGCATTTCACCTTTTAGAATGGGGAAAAACTGCACAAAAGCCAGGAAATCACCAAAGGATTGGTGGTCGGTGAAGTGGGGCTGGGCCAGCAAGGGAATCCCGGAGAGCTGGACTTAGAGCCCCAGAAGGCTCAGCTGCACTGCGAGGTGGCTGTCTCTCTCTGAACAGGATCAAAGAGTTCCTGAGTTGCAGAGACATCTTTGTGCAAAGCTTTGTGATCCATGTGCAACCAGGAAATAGGTAGCCTGAGCACATCAATGACACTTTTGGGGAGAAGAAGCAATGCTTTCCATGTAAAACATGCCTAAAACTAATGATGGTGCTTCTTCTTCCAGCCCCTCAAGGTCATTGGAGTTAAGGTTCACACCGGCCAGAACAAGAAGCAAATCTTGCTGGACCTAAACATTAGGTGAGTTTTTAGGTTTTGTTACGTTGCTGGGTTAAGTGCTGTACCGCCAAGTGGAGTAGACCAAAAGCTGACTGAATGACAAGCAAAGCACTCACCACTTTGACAGCTGTGTTTTGGTAGTTGGATGTGCGCTGCACTCTTTCCTGGATGAGTGTGCACCCCGAGGGCAAGGTTTGTCCTGCACTGAGGAGGCTCATTGCCTTGAGCCAGAAAGGCAACTTCCCTTCCTTGGGTGCAGCCCAGTCTGGCCCTTCACAACCAGCTGGCTTTCCTTGAAAAAGACAAAACTATCTGCAAAGGGCAGCAGGGCAGCAGGCCTGCTGTGACTCCGCTTTGCGGGAAGGCAGTGTTTCTCCCTGTGCAGAGAGCAGAGGCATTGAGCTGGCTCCCATGTAACAATGCATAGAAATGTTTTAATAAATAAATAAAATGCAGAGGATGGGCTTAGCTATGGGCTGTTAACTTGGAACAACCTGGAATCCACAATCCAACCACAAACTGTGAATTCTTTTCCTGGGTTGTTTGTGGCTAACAACCCATAGCTAAACCTTAGTGCAGGGTTTGCATGTAATGAATCCCATGATCATCATGGCATCAGCAACCCATACTCCACCCATACTCTGAGTTTTCATGTGCAAACCAGGCCGTTCCCTCCTGTGTTCATTGCCCATGCTGGATGTCTGCTGTGGGTAAACCCGGCCGGGTGGACGCAGCACAGCATATTATTCAGCAGCTCCTAAAAAGGCTGTCCAGCTCTTCCTTCTGACCTTCAGTGTTACATCTCTGTCTGGGAATGTAACTTTTGATCCTGGGAACCTCATGCTGTTGTCTTCCTTCCTCTCCCTGCTTGACAGCTATGTGGGTGATGTCCAAATTGATGTGGAAGTGAAGAAATTTTTCTGTAAGGCTGGGGTGAAAGGCATGCAGGTAAGATGGATCAGGACAGAGGTCGGAACAACGGTTTAGACCAGCCTTCCCCAACTTGGAACCTTCCACATGAGTTGGATTATAACTTCCATCTTCCCCTGACCTGCCAGCATGGCCTTTGGCATCTCATCTGCTCTTGATCACTGAAAGGAGAAACTGATGGGTGTCCCTTCCCTTCAGAATGTTGTCTGCCAAGGCAAATGCCCCTTCTCTCTTCCACCTCCCACAGTTCCTGAACTGAGGCATAAGGCTGCAGCCTTGCTGGGTGGGGTGCGACCGTCTCCCCCTCCCATTTCCAAGGGGAGCTACATCACTGTTGATGTAGGGACAGCACTCAGACGAGATCCTCTTGTACGTCTGCCCCATGTTTGCTTCAGGGCACAGGAATGGAAGCAGCATTCTTTGGGAATAAGCTCTCCACCTTCCTTTTCCCTCAGCTCCATGGCATGCTGCGGGTCATCCTGGAGCCCCTCATTGGGGATGTCCCAATTGTAGGGGCACTCACAATGTTCTTCATTCGCCGGCCGGTAAGTTGTCTACCCCTTTTGTATCCTGTCTGTTCTTGGGATGGTGCTTTTTCCCAGAATTACCTCATGAAGTCTGAGCATGAATCGCCTTGAAGCTGGAGCAATGCCCCTGTGAGGAGCGGCTACAGCTACCGGGACTGTTTAGCTTAGAAAAAAGGCGAGCAGCATGAGACATGACAGAGGTGTTTAAAATAATGCACGGTGTAGAGAAAGTGGAGAACCCAGTGAAGCTGACTAGTGGGAGCTTTAGGACAGACAAGAGGAAGTACTTTTTCACACAACGTAAACTATGGAGTTCACTGCCGCAGAAAGTGGCGATGGCCACCCGTCTGGATGGCTTTAAAGAGGAATTGGACAGCTTCATGCAAGAGGAGGTGATCAGTGGCCACTAGCTGCGCTGGCTGTGTGCCGCCTCCCGCGCCAGCTGGGGCATGCCCAGAAACACCAGTTGCTGTGGGGCCTGGGCAGGCAGAGTCTTGTACCCATCCTGTGGGCAGCTAGTCTATCACCATATGGAGTGCTGGACTAGATGGACCTTTGGTCTGATCCAGCATGGTTTGTCTTATGATCTCATGGTAGGCAGAGGCCAGAAACAGCGCTGACTGTTGTACGTCCGACTGAGTGTAAGTCAAGCCCAGTCCCTCTCATGTGAGGCTGAAGGGACATGGCACTGGTCCCCCGGTGTTCACTTGAGCACCCCGCCCCCCATGTGTTGAGGCTACATAGGCATCGGTCTCCTGCATTCATCAACCTTTTCTGTTAGTTAAACTATTTAGCATTGTTGGGCTTTATATAAGTGCTATAAAACATTGGCCCAATCTGCAGGCTGTTTATATAGAAGACTGTTGGAGCCATGGAATGGAAAGAGTAAGGTCAAGGAAGGAGAGCAACTTTCACTTCATGGTAGCAAACTTTCAGCTACTTCTGTGGATTAGAAGTATCTCAGTGTGTAAAATCAAAATTCAGAGAGCCCCAAAACCCATCAAGAGCCCATCAAGTTATTCAAGTGATCAGGGTTCTAGTCCCTGCTCAGCCATGGAACCCACTAGGTGACTTTGGGCCAGTCACAGACTCTTAACCCAACCTACCTCACAGGGTTGTTGTGGGGATAAGATGGAGTGGAAGAGGAGAATTATGTAAGCCCCTTTAAGTTCATTGGAAAAACATGGGATATAAATCTTATAAATAAATATATTTTTCTTTGCCCCAACTTACCAGTCTACAGAATTCAGACCAATGTATGAGAAAAGTCAGGAAACCAGCAAAGCACAGTGCAGAGCAAATGGCTCCATATGACTCAAGTGAGTGAGCCAAGTGCAGGCAGCCAAGTACTCCTCATTATGAAATTCCTCAGATACAAAGCACCCTATAGGAGCCTGGGGCCGTGTGCAATGAGGGAATGATAGGATAGCTTCAGTCCTGGTCATTCTCTCACCCTAATCTCTCCTTATCCAACATGTCTGACTGGTTCTCACTCCCACTCCCCTTCTTTCCCAGACTCTGGACATAAACTGGACTGGAATGACCAACCTCTTGGACATCCCTGGACTGAGGTAAGGTATGCTGTGGTGGGTTATGAACTTCTTGCAAGATTATGACAAGAGTGAAAGGAGGATATGGTTATCTTAATTGCTCCCTCAATCAGAACTGACACTTGCACAAGAGTGAGGTGCTAGCCAAGAATGTTCCATAGTGGAATGGTTTTTCTGCCCACAAATCTGCAGGCCAATGTGCTTTTTCTCTTGGAAGCAAGAAGTGGAGCTGAGCAAGAGAAGCATAGAAGGATATTTTAGACTGAAACAAAAGGGAAAATTTGAAGAGAAATCTGCTGGAGGAAACTAGAGCTTGTTCAAGGGGTGCTTTCTGGTGTACACTGGGGCAGAAAGGCATTCTGGGGGATTGGAGGGATGCACAGATACCACAGAGTCGGCTGAGGTGGCATGTGTATGCAGGAGATTTGACAAAGTAGAAAATACTGTGTTGTAAAACAGAAGGCTTTCTTCTGCAGTTCACTGTCTGACACGATGATCATGGACTCCATTGCCTCTTTCTTGGTTCTTCCCAACCGCTTGCTCATCCCACTGGTCTCTGATCTCCATGAAGCAGCTCAGCTGCGCTCCCCAATTCCCAGGGTAAGGCAGACTCTAGTTGGGAGGGTTGTTAACTCCATGCCAGTGCTCTGGATCTGCTCCACCTTCCCTCTTCTTCCTTCCAGGGTGTTGTCCGTGTCTACCTGATAGAAGCCAGGGACCTGCAGTCCAAGGATAAGTACATCAAGGGGATGATTGAGGGCAAGTCAGACCCATACGCTATCGTGCGTGTGGGAACCCAGGTCTTCACCAGCAAAGTCATTGATGAAGACCTCAACCCCAAGTGGAATGAGATGTATGAGGTAATTGACTACACAGAGAAGTGGTAACTCGAGTACTGGTGTCTAGGGGTGTGCTCAGCCTCATTCCTGTCCCTTCCTCCTGGCTTAGCGTTTCCTCTTCACACAACACAGCTGTCATTCCTTTCCTTTCTCTGTCTGAAGAGGGCCCCTCCGGCCTACACAATAGGCGGTGTCTGCTCTGACCCCCCACCTAACTATCCCCACAGTTCATTGTGCACGAGGTACCGGGGCAGGAACTGGAGGTGGAACTGTTTGACAAGGACCCCGATCAGGATGACTTCTTGGGCAGGTGAGAGGCTGGGTTCTGTTTCCATCCCTAGCACGGGGAGTGAGCCCTAGCTGGGTGAGTGGCTGACCAGTTGGGAGCTGGAGCTCTGCTGTGTTCGTTTGTTTGCTTGCTTGCTTGCTTTTTTGGCAGGGGCGCTGAGAGGATTTAGGGGACAATGGATGAAGTAGGGTCAATTCTGGGTTTGATCCAAAGCTAAGTGGCTTCATTCCTCAACTCTGGAAGTTGGATTTTCTCAGTGAGAGGGAGACCTGCACAGATAAGGATTGCTTATCTGTTTCACCTTGGTGTCTTTGCCTGGCATTGTGGGAATGAGATATGCCAATGTCTTCTTTCTTTTCCCAGGATGAAGCTGGACTTTGGAGAGGTGCTCAGGGCTCATGTCCTAGAGGAGGTGAGCACTGAGAAGGAAACGAGGCTGTTTACAAACTGGAGAACAGAGTGGCGTTTGAGTTTGATTTCCAGCTGGCTGCAGGAAAACAAGTATCTGTGATTTCTGGGAATGATGAATAGCAGTGATTCCTCATAAAGAGGTTTCAAGGGGGCAATGATACAGAAGCAGAAAGGGTAGCAAGGGGAGCCTAGATTGGACTGAATATGAATGGCAGAGAAGCCACACTTAAAGATAAGTTGTATCTTACATTGCTGCTTAGAACAAGAGCTCCTCGATCAGAGATATGAATGGTCCTCAGATTCACAGATTGGGCCTGGCACGGTCCTCATTCTCTTCCTCATTCTCCTTCCTGGCAGTGGTTCCCTTTGCAAGATGGAGGCCGGGCTCGTGTGCATTTGCGCCTGGAATGGCATACACTTATGTCTGATGTCTCCAAACTGGACCAGGTGAGGGTAATGTTTGGGGTGGAGGCCAGTGTTGTTCATGGCTGTCTCTGGAGCCAGCTGTATCTTGGTGCTTGCCCTTCATCTGAAAGCAAGATGATACTCCGTGATGCCTGCTTAGATTGGCAGCCACTTCTCAAGGGCTCAGGCAGAGATTTTGCCCAACCCTGTTATCTGAGGCCTTTTTAAACTTAAGATGCCAAGAACTAGAGAATCAGTCCTCCACAATACTTTTTGCAAGGTGTTTCCTTAGAGCAGTGATGGTGAACCTTTTAGAGACTGAGTGCCCAAACCCCAACCCAAAACCCACTTATTTATCACAAAGTGCCAACACTGCAATAAAACCTGAAAACTGAGGTTCTAGTTTGGAAAAAAACAAATCACAGCCAGTCCAAGAAACTCACTCTCTCTCTCTCCCTCTCTCTCTCTCCTTGGCAGCACACTGACTGGCCATGCGAAAGCTTGGGCGAGTTGCAGCTAATGAGTCGCGGCTCATGACATCATTGCCTGGTGCTGCTACTCCTTTCCGAGCATGCGCATGGCCCATGTGTGCGCTGCTATCCAGTGCTCGGCTGCTGGGGCAATGCTGGGGTGACTTGGCTCACGTGCCAACAGAGAGGGCTCTGTGTGCCCGCTGTGGCACGTGTGCCATAGGTTCACCACCACTGCCCTAACCCTACCCTGGTGCACACCCCTAACCCTAATATAGGGGTAAAATACCATTGAAAAGAGGGTGATTTTGAAAAAGCCTTCCTTGAGTTGCTTTTTCTCTACAGCTCATCCTTTCTGCCCATTCTAAACACATTCCAACCATCAAAATCATGCCAGGACACCTCGTTTTTTTAACCCAAACCCAACAATGGTGAACCTTTTAGAGACTGAGTGCCCAAACTGCAACCCAAGACCCACTTATTTATTGCAAAGTGCCAACACTGCCATAAAACCTGAAAATAGCCAGTCCAAGTAAATATATATTTATCCTTGGCAGCGCACTGACCAGCCATGCCAAAGCTTGGACAAGTCACAGCTAATGAGTCATGGCTTGTGACATCATCCCCTGGCACCACTGCTCCTTTCTGAGCATGTGCATAGCCCCTATGTGTGCTGTTATCCAGTGCTCGGCTGCTAGAGCACTGCTGGGGTGATTTGGCTCACATGCCAACAGAGAGGGCTCTGCATGCCCGCTGTGGCACATGTGCCATAGGTTCGCCACCACTGCCTTAGAGGAATGCTTCCTCAGAGAAAGATTATTACATGGAGATCAGACAAGGATTGCAAATTCACATTCTAAAGCACATTATTCTATTGCCCTTGTAACTCTTACGCTGTTTTTAGTAGTTAAGAATTCAAGTTATATAGAGGTTATTGTGAGGTTTTGTTGATCTTGTTATAATGTTGTTGTGGTTTTATCAGTCATGTTTCTTAATATACTATCATTTATTTGTTGTTTTCTAACATACTTTCTACCCTACCCTGAGAGCCATTTTGGCTAAGGGGCAGGATAGAAATCCAATAGATGATGATGATGATGATGTCATTCTATATCCACTTAGCAAACAGAATTCAGTGTCTTGGAAGACATTGGGGTGGGGAGTCAATCTGCAGACAGCCTCCGCAATGTGACCTCTAACATGACAAAGTGACATGTCCTCATATGTCCTCAAAGTGACCTCATATGACAAAGTGGGCAGCTTGTGGCCCTACAAATGTATTTGTGTAAAACTTCCATCATTTTTCACCATTGGCTATGCTGGCTAGGGCTGATGGGAATTATAGGCTAAAACATCTGGAGGGCCAAAGGTTGCCCACCCCAATTGTATGAGAAGACCAGTAAAAAAAGAGATGGAAAGAAAAGGTGTAGTTTGAAGTAGGATTGGGATGAAGCCTTTTGGAGTCCATCCCCCCCAGCATTTGTGGACTTCTTCTCATTCTTGCCCCAGGTCTGCAAATGAGCCAAGCCAGGAGGAAATCACCCCACATTTGTGGACCCTGCGTTGTGCAACTGAAAACCTTCTCTATCAGGTGCAGCTGCCCTAAGAGCAGCTGCAGGACCTGAAAGAGGGTGCTCTGAGGGTCACAGCAGGTGCCATTCCCAGCAGCCTCAGTGGCCAGGAGCACCGCTTGCACAGCGCATGGGGCTCGATTCCTGGCGAGCGCCCCACAAATGTTGGGACTGCTCACCAGGTACTCAGACTTGTATCATTGCGAAGCAGACCAGAGTCTGAGGACCCAAGCCCAGGAAATCGCATGGATTCCCACCCTGAATAGATTCCTTGCACATCACTAGTTTGAAGAAATCTTTCTTTCCCATTGCGAATGAGTCATAAGCCACGATTAACACATGTGTGTAGATTGCCTACGGAGTGATTTATCAGAAAGAAATGTTGGACTTGATTTAATGCTAGTTTTATCTACTGCATGCTGCTTGAAGGTTCTTCAGTGGAACAAAACTATCTCCTCCAAGCCAGAACCCCCATCAGCTGCTATCTTGGTTGTCTATCTTGACAAGGCACAAGAACTCCCGGTAAGTAAGAAATCCTCCTGATATGGACTTCTGGATCTCACTGAAAGTTACATGATGATATCTTCCTTTGGGTTAGAGTCTCCAGTGACTTACTTTTCTCTATCCCATGGCCTTGGTATATGGTTGTTGTTGTTGTTAATTAGATACCTGTATTGCCTGTAGCCAAAGTTCTCTGGGCAGTTCACCACATTAAGTCACCCATCCAGATTTCACCCAGGCCTGACCCTGCTTAGTGTCCAAAATTAGGCAGGATTAGGCACTTCAGGCTATATGGAAGCTATGGGTTAAAAAGAGAATTAAAACATCCCTATAAATAACATGCATTTTACAGTGTTAGCCTATTCCCATCTGGATGGACCTTGACTTTGTCAGAGTTTCCCCCCCTCAAATCAGTAGTGTTGCTGAAGCAACAAATAATACTTATTCCCAAATATGATGAAGAGGACTATTAAAAACGGTTTTCCCTTCCAACCGCCATTAGAGATACAGGGCCAGTCTGTATTGGGGCTTTTCCCAATATTCAGTATTGTAGCATCTGGTTCACCAACGTGGCACTTGATAGACTCTCCCACCCACCCTCTTGATATCGTTCCCCCCTCTGTGTTCCTTTTTTGCCCCCGTCTACTTTTCTGTCTCCTCCAGTGACTACTGTTTCCATTCACCTATTGAGCTGCACGTGTGCCAGTTAACTGACTTAAAAACTCTTATTGTTGGGAATGACTTCAAAGCTGTAGAATCTATTTTACAGTACTTCCTTCCCCACCTTCACATTTACCTCAGGCCGGGTACAGGGCTTTGTTCACTGGATATCCATACTGGTTGCTCAGTCCTCTCCTTTGAAGGAGGGAGTCCTTGGCCAGTCATTTTTTGGTGGGGGGGGGCTAATTTTAATTGCATTTAAATTAGCGCCAGGCGAAGACCTTTTTATTTATGCAGCATTTTAAATGTTAATATTATTGAATTTTATTCGGCCAGGGCGGCTTATTTTATTTTACTGTATATATTTTAATTGTCATTGTTTTAATGTATTTTGTATTCAATGTTGTAAGCCGCCCCGAGGCCTTGGCAAGGGGCGGCATAGAAATGTTTTAATAAATAAATAAATAAAATAAAATTTAATTTTAATTTTAATTTTAATTTTAAGCTGTGCAATTCTGAATAAACACACGATCCTTACTTCAAAACCTTCATTGCTTCACATGCAGGTAGGCATGTAAAAAAAAAATAAATGCCAAGATGACTTCCTGCTCCTCTCACAGTTGTGGTGGTAAACTGTGGCTTTTGGCAGGTGCTCCCATTATAAACACAAATGATAAAGCACACAGGACTTTTCAAATTCCTTCTACTTCTGTCACAGTTACATTATGCCTTGGGGTGTGACACCGCTTCATTTTATAAACACAGTGGATACATCACTCTATTCATTAATTGAACAGAGCAGCAGTTGTGTGTGGAGAAAGGTAAATCCATAACGGTTTTTCCTGAGAAAGAAAAGGGGCTTGGCTGTGGACTCTCACACAGGTTCAAATCTTGAACTGCTTGAAAGCAGGCACTACTTACCTACTTTCACAAAATGTTCAGACACTGGGGAAAAGAATTACACACAGACGGAAAGGGCCACCAAACATGTTTCTTCGTTCATTCATTCATTATCTTACCTTTCTGCCAAAAAAGGGCACTTAAAGTGGCTAACAATAAAATCTGGATTAAAAACATAACCTCAGTTAAAGCATAAGAACAAACACATTAAATATGATAGTAAAGGAAAGGAACAGCACCAACTCATTAAAAGCCAGAAGGCCTGTTTATAGGTCAGAGGCCTTCTGAATAAAAATCTCTTGCCCTTGCTGTCCAAATCTGTAAATGGAAAGTGATTTCCAGGGAGCAGCTATTATTTGCATGGCACCAGCAACATTCATGGTGCCTTACAAAGTAACAACTGTGGAGGATCAAAGGGGTAACAGCTGGGAGGCTGAAAGGGCTGGAAGCTGAAGCACAGGCCAGGCTCTTGTGAAGCATTCAGACCCTGTGGAGGTGGAAGAGCAGTTTGCCTGTGCCGGGCAGCTCACACAGAAGGGCAGAGACAGACTTAGTGGCCCTTTAGCCCTTGCTTAATTCAGGCAGGGTTTTATGTATGTATTTATTTGATTTTTTAACCTGCCCCATTAGTCTTAAGGCTCCCTGGGTGGGTTACAAAGTTAAGAAATATACAGTACAAATATAATAAAAGGTTCCACTGATTTTCTTCTCCGCCCAAGTGGAAAAGGCTCTCTCTTCCACCCCGCTGCCCCGTCACACACACATGCACACAGGCTGTTGGCAAGCGCATTTGAAAAGAGTTCATGGATACTCTCCTAAAATGGCTGCCATGGTGGGCATAGCCTGTCACAAAACACTCGTTCCCCAGAAGCCAAGCTGGTGAATTTTAAAGACAGACCAAAAGGAACTTACAGAAGAACCTACACAGAGGGCAGAGGTAGGATCCGGACTGTAAAATGCAAAAGCACTCTTTGAAGCCAAATAAAGGTGGTTCTGCTAAGAGAGGTTCCCGTGGGGCAATACTAATCAAGGACACCACTTTGGAGGCTCCAGCATTAGGTAATATTAAGAGTTATATTGTTCTTTGTGAGTTATTTCTCTCTCCTCCTCCTTACAATAGCTGAAGAAATCCAGTAAAGAGCCCAACCCCATGGTGCAGCTCTCCATCCAAGATGTCACCCGGGAAAGCAGGGTAAGGCATTGATTTAAATCATTCCTGCCTGTTAGCAGTTGCTGACCAATCACCTCCATTGGTAGCAAAGTGGAGTTGCATACAAGGGTCAGAACTGGGCTAGCAAGATGAAAGTGCTTGCAGGTTTCATCCCACTCTCTTTCACTATTTAACATCCACCTTTAAATAGTTGTGGCTACAACAGGACGGAGCAGGGTTGCCGTGGTTCTCAGCCAGAGCTTGGGGCTGGCTTGATGGTTGGTCACCTGACTGCTCTCTCCCTTCTTTTAAGCATTGCAGCTTCAGGAAGTCTGGTGCTTGGCTGATGGGTGTCCCACAGAAGTGGGTGCTTGTATTGGGTGCCACTGCCCCACAGTTATTCTTCTCTGATTCCCTGCCAGGTTGTTTATAACACCATCTCCCCAGAGTGGGATGATGCCTTCCGTTTCTTCCTACAAGACCCAACCACTGAGGACATTGATATACAGGTAAGTTTTGTCACCAAGTTCAAAGGCTTGCCATCTTTCTGTCTGTGCAGACAGTAGGAAAAATTTCTTTTTGAACCCCTGCAGGTCAAAGATGACAACCGTCAGACCACCCTGGGCTCTCTCACAATCCGCCTGTCCCGCCTTCTGAGTGCTGAAAATCTGACACTGGATCAATGGTTCCACCTAGAGAATTCTGGACCCAACAGCCGAATCTACATGAAGCTTATTATGCGGGTAAAGACCTTGTAGGGTTGGAACTTACTGTGTTTAAGGACTTGCTGTGCTTCTAACGATATTAATTATCCCCTCTGCCTTCACTATGGTGCCATAATCTAAATTCCCATCTCCAGCCCTGGCAATTGCTTTTAGAAAAAGGCATGGGAGATTGTGATATGACTCCTGCATGATATAGCTGGGGACCTTTTCTCATGCCTGAGATAAAAGTGTTTATGTTTGTTTCCTGCTGGTTAAGGTTGGGCATGCAAAAGCACTGGGCTATATCCTCCCTGCCAGTGAACTGAATGGGAACTTTTGAACTTTCATGCCAGAGATGTGGGTTTAGGGCTGGACTGGCTGTTCAAGCAATTTAGGAGAAGATACTGCCCTGGGGTCCCTTGCAATGTTGCAGAAGGGTCTGAGATGCAACTTGCCATTCCTGTGGAGCCGCTGAGGGTCTGAGAGTTATGCCCACCGTCTTTCTGTCAGTGACAAGCCCCATCAACATCTCTATCAAAGAGCAAACTGTAAGGAAGGCCCTTGAAATATCCTGAAGGATCAGGATATAGGGAATTCCTGCAGTCAAGCATCTACAGGAGGTGTGAGCAACTTGCAGCCTTCCAGTCGTTGTTGGACTGCAACTCCCATCATCCTGTTCCCATTATGCTCAACTATTCGCTGCACTGGTGAGAGTTGCAATGCAACAATATCTGGAGGGTCAGAGGTGGCCCATTTTTAATCTACAGAGATCAGGAGGGTCCAGAGCAAGAACCAGTGAAGAACCAGAGTTGGTAACATAGAACTGGGAACCAGGAGTTTAACAAGAGCTATTAAACCAAGTCCAGCTGGTATCAAACAACAGGCACCAAGGAAGCTCCTTGTGATTTCCCAAAGAGTTTGGGAAAGAGGGCAGGTTGTTGTTATTATTATTATTATTATTATTATTATTATTATTATTA